ACTCTTACAGTTATTCTGACAAGGTGAGGCATAAAATCCCTTATCAACTCCCTTACTTTCTACCATTACAGTGGTATGTCGTTGTCAGTGTATGTATAACAAATGTACCAGTAATGGAAACGACATGTTCGCTTGACCGAGATCAGTATCAGTGAGTGTATGCACTCACAAAAATCTTAAAGAAGCGAATGAACCGCAAAAATCACAGCATTTCTCTCCTCATAGACAAAGGTGGGTTATGCACTAATTCTGCAGACATGTGTGAATTATTCAACAAACCTTGAGCCCTCAGTCCAGTTACTTGATATACACCCTTCTACTAATATGGCACAAACTCCATCTCTACTCACACCAAAACAAATTAGCACTGTTGAATTCACTTATGCTAACATCAACCCAACCATAAGAACCCCCAAAAGCTCAAAAGGTTTTGGTACTGACGGTATATCATCCTACTTTTATAAATATGGTGGCCCTGACATTCTTTTACTACTGCTTAAAATATTCACAATGTCCCTAGAAACCCAAACTGACCCTGATATATGGAAAACAACATTTATTATGCTTAAGCACAAATCTGGCTTGAAAACAGAAGTTAGTAACTACAGGCCGATCAATTTCACACCTATCGCATCTAGAATTATGGAGAGACTAGTTAAAGATAACCTACTCAAGCATATGCTTAGCTGCAACATTATAAGTCCGAACCAACATGGATTCCTAAAATCCAGATCATGTTTGACATGCCACCTAGACTTCTTCAATTTTGTGACCAGCAGTCGTGACAGACGACAACTAGTACTTGTCATCTACTTTGACATCTCTAAGGCATTTGACCGTGTCTACCATTTACTGCTAATACATAAGCTGAACTACTTAAGAATACGTGGCCCACTACTAGGATGGCTTAAATCATTCATTAACAACAGGTATCAGACATTTAAACTCGGGTCAGCAATGATTAGTCCAGTATGACAGACTTACTGAGAATGCGGATGAGCTTGGCACCATGCAGTGAAATGCAAGCCGTGGTTGGTAGAGGTAAATGACACCCCTTTGCTGTGTCACTGTCGGTAAAATAGGCCAAGCAGTCACTTATAGCTTGCTTTCCGAGCTTTTGGGACCGTTTTTATTAGGAAAGGGAGGTCACTCATTCGCATAAACTATTGATAAAGTCGACTACTGAAGTTTTGCAGGGAACCACTGTGATTACCTCAGCTTCTTAGTTACATAGTGCCAACATGCCAACATGAGCGAGGAAATCACTCGGTCATGATTAGCTTAAGACACCGATATTGAGAATTGAGGAGAGACGAACAATCTCCTAAATGTATTGTCAATGTCCTCAGCGTGGCGCTTTAGAGGCTGCCTTTTATATCAAAGCAACTAAAATATAAGTAACCATACTAACCCAGGAATTCCAATACTTCAAGTCTGCAGTGTTTGATTGCTGCCATCAGTTTACTTATTCAGAACCCCACTCGAGTAATCGTTTGACGAAAAAATACATAAACGAACTTGAAGAATTAAGGGAGAATGATGATATTATCATACGCCACCCAGACAAATGTGAAGTTGTTCTCGTGATGGTTCGCCAAGATTATAACGACTGAGTCTCAGTGATTCTTTCTTATCAGATGAAATTTGCCAAATCCGTTGGTGAAAGGAACAACGTGCCTCTAACTGAATATCAGTTGGCACATTCGAAAAAACCATGAAAATCCATAATATCTTCAGATTTTTGTGAACTTATCCGACCCACTGGCTCCCAAATACCACGTTTGCCTAGATTGCCGGAAATACCTTTCTATACGATTCTTGATACAGTTGTGGTGAGAGGTGGTTGCTAGCCAAATTGGTTGACAGTAATTGAGGCCAATGTTAGTCATGTGAAAACAAGGTCAAGAATGACAGGCGGATACAGTTAACATATAGATGAACTGACACAGCCACAGGAGATGCAAGGTTAACTTTGTGTGAGAAACAACCAATCAACAGACTGTATTTTCTACTAACATTAACCTACAATAATGTACATCAAAATCTATAAATACTTGTTGATTTTCCGTAATAAACGTTCTGTTGCCTGGCCCTTGTCTTCTGTTGTTACACAGTGGGTTCTCCTCACCACAGCAAAGCTCGGTGACTGGCTAAAATGTTTGAATCATTTGGAAGGCTAGTATTTAGGTTTTCGACTGGTGATACTGAGGGTATTAAAGATAAAGCTATGTTTCCACCAGACGTGACTCCGTTATTCAGTAATGTGATCCTTGCGGAAACTGTCTGCTATATATACGATTATATTGGTGCACAAAGTTTTGACATAGGGTTGCCAACGAACTACCTCAAGGAACCCTTATTGAGATGCACGCTGAATGTTCAGTTCACTTTCAATAATGAAATTTTTAGACAGATAGATGACATTCCTATGGGATCGCCACTGCTGGCTGATTGTTGTAATTCAAAGCTTGAACACTCTAAACTTAGCCAAACTATCAGCCACTGAGATATTTATTGAAGATATGTGGACGACACTTTGGTTATCTGCGATGAGGGTGTAATTCGTGATGACATCTTGTTTGCATTCGCCAAGTGCTGTCCTTCTCTGCAATTCACCACAGAAAAGGAATCTTAACTGAATATTCCCTTTCTTGATATGTGCTTCAGTAGACTCAATGACGGATCTCTCAAAAGATTCATCCACTAGAAACCAAGATTGAATAGACAGTTAACAAACTTTGATAGTTGGCTGCCGTCCGCGAGGGAAAGGAAACTCAATTCACTCACTCTGCTTTAGGCAAAAACATTTGTAGTTCTGTTTGGGTTGACTCAGGACTTGGCTTCCCAAAAGCCATACCCGCATAAACGGATACCCGAACTGATTTATTGGCAGAAACATGAAGGATAAACAGTTCGAACAGGTCACCTACTCAGCTTCAAGGAAAACCTTATTCATGAATTTGTTATTCAAAGGTGATCAGGCTTCAGGTATGACCAAAAATCGTCTCTCTAAGTCAATCAAAAAGACTTTTTCTGCTGTGAAACTTCAATTAGTCGTTGTCCGTCTGCATAAAAGAAGAACCTCATCGTCTGGCTACCTCCATGTGCATCTATCAGTTTACCTACCCTTGTGGAGTAAAGTGTCCGGTTAGTGTGTTACACATGGATATAAGAACATGTTTCCGCATGCTTTTGAAGGGGGGGAAAGAAAGGTGTGCGAAACTCTGTTCTACAGCACTTGGTAGACACCTGTCACTCTACCAACCCCGACGATGATTTTAAGATTACCTGTCTGATTCATGCCAACATCGTTCTGAACTTCTATAAAAGCGGAAACCTTGGGCACTAGTGAATTTAAGACAGACCTTCATGTCCAGAACAAGTATTTACAGTTAGTATTCCTGCCTTGGCAGTGGAGGGATAAACATTTATTTCGTTTTTCACTCTGTTTATTTAGTTAGTCTATGTACCTTCCCTGCATTACGATGATTATGATTATTATTGTTGTTCCCAATTTATTATGTTTACGGTGTTCTTCACCTGTTCGACTTGTCACTCCAAATCACAGAAATTTTTGCATTGTTAATTTCTGTCTCATCAAACTTCTCATCATTTTGCATGATATATTTAATTTGCCTAATGGTGCTGTAATGCTGCACCCCCTTTCAACATCTGTACGCTTTGTGGACTATTTTGTATGCCACCAATTGTTCTGTCAATTGATATTTAACTTTGACTATAGTCACAAACATTCAAATTGCATTTCATAACATCATTGTTGAAAGTAGAAACAATTCAACTTGGACCTTCCAGCTGACTGAATGGACCAAAATGTTCGGCTTCTGCTGACATGTGTGAAAAGTCTCAAACAGGACGAAATAAGCATTCCGGATTCCATTGCTAGCCACCTTCCTTTAAATCTTCGCAAGGGACATGATCTCTAGAAAACTTATGTATATAACCGCAGAGCTTGCTGGGAAAATTCACTGAGAAGAGTCTCTCCTCTGAATATTGTTTTCTAAGATCTACTAAGTCACCAAAACTTATAGTTAGTCATGTAGGATAAGTCTCCGGAGGAACATAGTTGCCTTTTAGCGCACAGTGGTTAGGACCATGCACATGGTCTGGGTTTCGATCCCCTAATGACTCACACGCGAGATCAATGGTTGGCCAGCGAAACTGGGCTACCGATATCACATGCTGAAAATTCCATACGTGTACCGAAAATACGGTGTGGAGTCAAGCTATAATCAAAATGAGAAATGAGAAAAACCTTTCTGCACCAAAATACGAAAGGACGTAAAAGAAACGTACATATACGTCAGGCAAGCTGCCAATTAAGTAGGTCCTAGGCTACAACAACTGCGGGCCGCAGAGGCGTTACGAACTAACAGTTACTTACGTAACAACTCATGAAAGAAGCTCACAAATATCGCTTCAGTATATTTTCAACGTTGTTTATAGCTAAGTGTACACACTAATGTTAGGCGTGTAATCGGGGTGGCCAAACAATTAGCCAGAGACAGATATTTCGCTGCCAGCTGCAAAATGGAACAATTAGAGATGAACTTCAACTAATCAAGCCATCTAATTGCCTCGCTTATCCTCACTTTTCCATTAAAGTTTGGTCCTAGCTATCCAGTTGTTTTTCTTATGCTTATCTGTCTTCCAAAATTTTATTACCGTCTTTCCTGTTGTTGTGGCTGTTATTAGTGTTGTTGGGAAAGCGTTTCGCTTTTCATCAATAAACCATGAGAGGCCAGATTTTGATGACATAAGTGTCAGCAACCCAACGCAAACCACAAGATTTTTGTCAAACCCAAACGACCCTCCATTCTTATCGATATCTTCTAGAACTAAGGCAAGTGGGTGGCACAACTGATTATCTGAAGCTTGTCCAGAAGCCGATGGTCATTTCTTTTTACCAGGAATTCAGAGCAGTTAAATCAACTGCAATATGGATATTGGATGTTGGTCAGAAGAGTGGCGCCAGCGTTAAAATGCTGAGGTGCACTAGGATTCTTTCATTAACTAGTGGTAAGCATAGTTATTCACTACCTCAACTGCCATCCAGTTATATATAAAATCCCCCGAATTTTTTAGCTAAGTGTCGCAGGTGTGAAAGGATCATTCAAATTTATTTTATCCCTCAGTATACTAGGTTTTAATACGGAAAAATAGTACTTCCCTTAGAACTTTATTTGGGTTTCTGTATTTCACGCTTACTTGGGAAGAAAAGATAAATTTTGTGTCGACACGCTTATGCCTACAATGCGTGGGATTACGGAATCTCATTGCAATCACTGACTTTTGCATTACTATTAACTAGTGGTGTGGCCTTTTTATCACAGGGTTAAGATTCAGCAGTAAAATTTCTCCACCAACAATAGACGAATAAGTGCACCATTATCTGCTTGACATTTGGGTGAGGTTGTCATGTTTCAGCTAATGTTTTGAGAAAGGTTCTTATTCGTGAGCGAAAATACCATCGCAATAGCAATTATTTGCTTTATAGCTATTTCGCTGAAGGCTCACATGTTGGGTGTTTTCGATTAGGGCACTTACCTGGACCTAACCTAATTTATTTCATACGTGTAGACTTTGAGATAGGTTTTGTAATGTCACAATGTCATTTATTCAAATTAAACTGATCAATAAATAACTGGTAACTCCTAATTGTGATAAAAAAACAAAAGAATAACCATCATATCCTTCCCTATTATTTTGGTGACTACAGGCAATATGCTAAATGTTTTCAGTAAATAAATAGTCTTTCAGTCTGATATTTTATCTAGACATTGTGTAAGCCAATTTACCAATTTATTTGTTTCAAAGGGGAAAACTAGTGTGTTGTCTTAGCACATCAGTAAGTTGAAGGTAGAAGTGTGGGCTTTAAACTATGGAAGATACAATAAAATTGTGAACATAACAGATAAGAGTTGCAAAACACCAGTTTTTCAACTTTACGATTTATTATATGAGCATATTCCGTGTTATAGTAAGTAGTTATTGACCCTCGTACTACTCACACTTCCATTTCATATATGGTGCACCTTATGTAACGTTTATATACATATATGTGCACTCCTGAATCAACCACTCAGAAGAGGTAATTTTATGTTGACTTCCGGTAGATAAAGGTTTTTGTTTTTGTTAATGCATTATTTTATATGGAGATAATATCACTAAGATGCAGTATCAAAACGATCGTGTTAATTGGTCTGTTAGTTTCAAAGCTAGCATTTAATGTGGGCTGTAAACCAGTGCTGAATACTTTGGTGAGATTTCCCCAAATTTTTCAGTGTTTTGAGAGGTAGTAGCGGTCGTTGAATTACTTAACAGCGGTTTGTGGCTTCCAGCTGGCGTTTATAACAATCGAACTGCATAGCGTCAGTTGTAGACCTTTACAGATTAATTGGTATTAGGATAAATAAATCTGTTGAACGCCTTAAAAGCGTTTAACAATATTTCTGCCTACAGGATTTTCATCATGAGCTGACATTAGTTAGAGAACCATTGGAAAACCTGGGAGTACTGAACATCTGTTTCGTCCCAGTCTGGGACTCTTCAGCAGTACGCACCCACAGGGGTTCGATCGCAGGACCTTCTGGTTACAAGGCTAGCGAGCTCGTAGACCATTAAGCCACTGGAACCCAATCCAATGGCCCATAAATTCTAACTTCTGCCAATTCACGACATAGCACGAGTTGTGGAATCACACTAGGAATTGCATATTTTTACCGAATATATTATTAAATCCATTTGTCTGATTGAAATGTACCATCTATTCCATTTAGTTTTATTGATTTTTGAATTACAGAAAAGAATGTAATACTGATTAGATCTCTTTCTACCGCCAATCCGACCACTGCCACTCAACCCACCAAGGTTTGCTTGCTAATGTTTCTTCATTCATGCACTGACAATTTAGACAACTTACGGCCCACTGTCTGATGAAGATCGAATATTCACTAATATATATGGTCGACATGATTGGCGTTTAAAGGGTGCAATGAGACGTGTAAGATTTGTCTTTTACATTTCTGTTAACACTGGTTATCCTTATATTATAAGGGTCACTGGTATAAAACAAAGGAAATCGTTTTAAAAGGCAGTGATTGGATTATTGAGGAGATTAAAAAATCTGGATTACGTGGGCGTGGTGGTGCTGGTTTTCCTTCTGGTATGAAATGGAGTTTTATGAACAAGCCTAGTGATGGCAGGTAATATTTAACCAGTGTTTATTTATTGGCATATCAATAAGGAAGCTATAGACAAGCCCTCGGTTAATGGTTTTTTAAAAAAAAAACCATATCTACGTGTTGGTTGTTCGTAATAGTTAAATTTGACCAGTTGATATAAATCAGGGATAACCGGTCGATATTTCTTAGATTTATCGCCAAATAGGATAAATGATTACCTACTATAGTACAGATACGAGATTCTATGTTTAACTGTAGCATGTTTGGAACAGATTCAAGGTAGCTGCCACCTTCCTCTGTAAGGATGCTTACTTGGAGTAGAATCTGTTTGAAAAGTAGTTATGTGCGCCCACATCAAACATACTACAAATCCATGAAGTTATTGGCTGTTAATCAAGAGGTGTAAACTGCTTATTTGGGGCTTTTCGAGATTTGAAGACTATATAACCGGAGACTTTCTGTAACAAGTCTCTAAGCCGTTCACAACAACTCGGGTGTATATACTTCATACCATCTATCAGACTCTGAATGTCTTCATCAACTGTTGGTGAATTATTCCCTTTGCCAATTTCTGTTTTATTTAGTACAGCTCGCATCAATCAACCACTAGTACTTAGTGTCATGCATTTACACTTTTTGTCCAATTATTTTATGTAATCATTTGAAGTGTTTTAGGGTAAAGTCACGCACCAATCAACCAACCCACTGTTCGGTTAGTTTTTTAGTACATATAAGTACCACTGATCCCTTAGTACAGTGGGTTATTTACTCCTTGATGCGGCTGAAGATGTTACTATTAAGTGGTTTGGGCAGCTGTTGACTTCCTACAACACTGGAGAATAGTTTTTTTTCACGTGTTGCATATCAAATAAACTCCATATTGAATTATAATTGATTTGCGATTATGTTGTTTTGTGTTTAACTTTATAGACCTAAATATTTAGTGGTGAATGCAGATGAAGGTGAACCGGGTACATGTAAAGACAGAGAAATTATGCGTCATGATCCGCATACACTTATTGAAGGTTGTCTTATAGCTGGAAGAGCAATGGGTGCTAATGCAGCTTATATTTATATACGTGGTGAATTTTATAATGAAGCTTCAAATATGCAATTGGCTATTAGAGAGGTAATGATGATGACTTTTCTCTCTCTCTCTCTCTCTTTGTTTTGTTTGAGTTTACCACCTTACTATTTTTTTAAATATTCCCATTTTTAATATTAGAACAAGACATATAAGCGAACAATATTGTTTTCAATTCCATCTCCTCAGGCTTTACTCTAATTTACATAGATTTATACATAAAAATTTTAACCGATGACGGTGATTTTGTGGATCAAATAATAATAATAATAATGTCGTAAATGTTTTGAATGTAGTTAATAACGATGATTATAATGACAACAAAATAGTGATAATAAGGTTTATTTATGCAGGTGGCGATAAGAATAACAAAGGTAGTAATGTATGTATATGTAGACAATTCAATAAATGAATTAGGTCGAATCTTAAAAGTTACGTAATACTAAGGGTGAAGTGGACAGATAATCAGTCTTCAAATAAATAACATAAAAATACGAAGGAGATGGAAAATAAGAGAAGGTGGGAGGGTTTTGAATAGAATTTACCTAGGCCAGGCAAGGGAGAGACAAAGGTAGAACAAACTTCTTTTGTTGTATGCAAAGACTAGGATTGTTCTCTCGAATTAATTCCCATAGCTTCGGCTAAGTGTAAGAGACGGGTTCTGATTCCGTTTGAAAAACTCGATGGAATGCGATAGATAACTTTGAAGGCACTTCTGCTGTCCACTTGGTGACCGCTATCAATCAAATGAGCCAAAATAGAACTTCTTATAGATTTTATTTGACCTTTCCTAAACTATAAAGGAAGATGCTCATTAATGCGTTTGTTAAGCTGTCTAGTTGTTCGCCCTATATAGCTCTCTCCACAAGAGCAACTAAATTTATAGATACACATTGAAGTGGCACAACTAGGTAGCTTGTCTTTCACTTGAGCAATCATAATTGGTTATTGTACACGTGATAGAAGAGGAATGTTAGCACTATAGTATTGGACAAGAGTATAATTATAATTAGTTGTTATCACACTCCTGCAAGATATATTCTTTATTAGTTGATCTTAGTTGGAAGGTTACTGGGAAGAATATAGACGAATATTACCATTTACTTGGGGATCAGAACTTAGTAGTAGTAGTAGTAGTAGCAGTAGTAGAATTTTAATGTAGATTTCGTTTCAAATCAATATCGACTACGGAGGAGGACTGGACAGCTGTCTCGCCCTACACTGGGACTCTTCAACAGTGCAAACCCAAAACCCATCTAAGGTCGAACTTGGGAACTTCAGGTTATGAGACCAATCTTGTTGTGACCGTTCAGCTACTTGAGCCGATCATTTTCACATTTTGCAACGATACGTTTGGAAACTGGTATTATTCTATTTTACCGATAGCAATATGTTTCTGTAGTCTCACTGGTGTAGGCAACTCCTTGATTATCAACCAAGTGGGTCACTGGACCAAGGTTTAGACGGCCAGGTAATATCACTAGCTTTCACACAATAGGTGTGGCTTATCGCTACTTTCATGAAAATGCAAGTGGATGTCGTATAATATTTTCCTCCTACCATTGTAGATATAAAAGAGAAGCTCTAATTCAATTGTCCGACCTCACAATGAATTCGTATATGTACTCAAATAAAAACAAATAGTATGAACATAATAGTGAATTAAGATTTTCAGCTCAAACATAGTCTTCATATATCATGGCATTGTTCTCAGTAGTAGTCACCAGATAATATTGTGTGTTTACTTCCCGCACATATTTTTACCGTCATCTTGATTTATAGTGTTGAGTCACTTGGGTGGGGGGGGGTAATTAGAGTAATATATATAGTCCCTCAGTAGTGGTGGTGCTAACTACATTCTCTTTGTCAACTTGCATTGTGGTCACCAAAACTGAAGACTAGGCACATGGCTTCGATTAACCCCAAGTGACCAGTCAATATAAAAGTATTAAAGTCCTACAGGTGGTCAATCGTGTCCCCGAAGAACTCTGTGGTTACACCTCTGGCTGCTGAACTGTGAGTAGTAAGGAGAGCTTGAATCTCAGAGGAGCCCTTGCCCCCTTCAGTGTTACAGATATGCCTCGTTAACGAGAACCAATAAGCATGAGAGGTAGATCAGAAGCTTCTTGTTGATTACCTTAAACCATTTAGCTGTATTTCACCCACTATTCAGACATAATTTTGACCATTATTGTTACTATTTATTATCTTGCATTATAGGCTTATGAAGCTGGTCTACTCGGCAAAAATGCCTGCGGTACTGGATATGATTTTGACGTGTATATGCATCGTGGAGCTGGCGCCTATATATGCGGTGAAGAGACTGCATTGATTGAATCGCTTGAAGGAAAACAGGTGTGTTATGTTTATTGTTGGATAACTTTTCTTCCCTACCTCTTTCTCCTTACACATTGACTATATGGTCTCAGTTAGTGTTCACGAGGCTAATAGTCATTTGGGTTTTTCACAGTTATATCTACTATGTTTGTAGTTCTGGTTCACAGTCGTGAAAGTTGATTACTATAGTTCCATAATTAGCGGGATTATCACCATTTTGAAATCTGGGTGATTCATTTGCTCAAAAGGTAGCTTAACTGTAACTATTCAACTTCATTTGAATTGATTCAGCACTCTAAGTTTAGTCAGATCGAGTATCATATGAGCTCGATCTTAAATGAGCAAACCGACCGGCTGGTATTTTGACAGTATTTGGATGTGGCTAGCAAACACCACTGGTTGACAGAAGTATCTGGGATCTGCTCATATAAATCAACTGGTAGTATATACCTTCATTGTCTTTTAGAGGCAACTCATGAATAAATACTCCTTTTGATATTTAATAAGGTACCTACATCGTTGAATTGATTCCCTCTTACTCGGATGATTAGGTCACTAATTCTCTATCTTGGATCTTGGGTTCGAGTCCCACCCCACCAACTTCAACATGGGTCGCAATTTAGTATTATTATTATTGTTATATTATAATTGTTTCCTTTAGTTCCTACAGGAACATAGGGCCTGAGCCGCACGTCTCCATAAAGTTCAGTTCTCTGCCAACTTTCTCACCTGACTCCACGTCTGCCCACATGCTTTCATCTCCTTTTCATATAACCTCCTCCAAGTCACCCTTGGACGACTAACTCGCTGTTTCCCGTTCGGGTTCCACTCGAGGGGCTGTCTAGTGATGTCACTTCGTGGCATTCTCAGAGTATGGCCAATCCACCTCCATTTCCTCCTGCATGTTTGTTGCATAATCGGTTCCTTGTTGTTTCGCTCTCGGAAATCCCTCTTGCTGAACTTTTCTGGCCGGCCATCTGATCTTGAGTAGTATTGAGCGAAGACAGCTGTTGATGAAGGTCTATAGTTTGTTCGAAGCGCCCTTCGTGACGCGGTGCCAAGTCTCTGATCTGTCACTGACTTCACATTGGACTTAAAAATTCTGATCTTATTTTTTATGCTGAGTAGTGCTGTTGATCTCCACACAGAGACTCGAGAGTAATGAAAGCTTGTCTTGCTTTCTCCATCCTCACTTTGATATCCTCATCAGTTCCATCTGCCTGTAGTTGAAACGATGCTTCCCAGGTAGGTAAAGGAGGTTGCTACTTTCAGATTTCTCCCATTCATGCTGATTGTTGTTGCTGTTGGCCAGGAATCTTCATCACCTCTGTTTTCTCTATGTTCACCTGAAGGCCTATTTTCTCTGGATGCCTCTTCTGCCAACTTGTTGCTTTTCCCCTGCATATCTTCCAGTTTGTGGGAAATCAGACATATATCACATCGGTGAAGTCCAGATCCTCCAAGTGTTTTGTGTGGGTCTATCTTATGCATGTCTCCTCGTTGCCCTCCGCGGTCTGTCGTATTATCCACTCTGTCACCACGAGTCAGGAAAATCATTGGAGATAATAGGCGACCAGCTTGTCTTACTCCCATCTTCACTTCTTCGAAGGATTCGGTGAGTTTCCCGTTGTGGGGATTACTTGGCACGCAGCATTATCCTACAGCTGTTGAATGAGATGTATAATTGTTGGCGGCGCTCTCAAACAATGTGTGTCTTATGAAAAATCTGCTTCGGGTAACTGAATTCAAGTGAAACATCCTGTATGTAAAACATTTCCATTTCTGATAATGATGGTACTCTTTTCAACCATGTATAAATGTCCAAGTAATGCTCATCGAGTTTTCTCTAATAGCGCTATTTTCGTTAATGTCTGATAACAAAGGTCAGATGGCTGGTCAGACTGGATAGTCGACAAGGAGCTATGGCAACGAACCAACTTAGAATCTAATGACTAACAAATATGCCGAAGAAGATGGAGACGGACCAAGCATGCATTTAAAACAAGCACCAAAAGGTGTTAATGAGACAGGATTTAATGAACTCATCATATTTCAGTAGAACTCCTGCTCAGCTGGATACTCTACATACACAGGGATATGAAATCAAGATAAAATGCATTACCGTTCAGTTACACATCACTTGAATAAACAATTGGTTATCAGTGGGAAAAAGAACTTGAATATATCAAGAATAGCGAACTAAATAATATTGAAAATAATAGTAATGCTAATAATAGTAATTTTCAAGAGTTGGCTTGTAAGGATTAAATGTATTTTTACGAGTTGGACCACGGATTGATATCAGTTAGAGAACCATTGAAAACCAGGGCGTACTAGACAGCTGTTTCATCAGCCTAGTTTGGGAATCACTGGCAGTACGTACCTACACCAACTGGGTTTGAACCCAGGACCCTCCGGTTACAAGGCAAGCTGGCTTGTTTATCATTCAGCCACTGGGACCCGATTCAATGGCCAGTCCATGAATTCTAACTTCTACCAATTCGTGATTTCGCACGATCACCAACCAATGTCATCGGTGGGAAATCCATCCCCACTCCAGATTGGATGGACCTCACTGGTCACGACTTCTCACTAGAACTCGAGGAAATTCTGTCCTGTAGCAAGTCATCGCCGATGATTCCCAAGCACTAGGATGAAACAGCAGTCTAGTACTCCCTGGTTTTCAATGGTTCTCTAACTGATACCAATCCGTGGTCAAACTCGTAAAAATAATAGTAATGTTAAAACAAGTTAAGATAATTGTAATGATAAAAGACAGTTTTAAATGAATCAGAAATAGGAATAATAAGAGGTGGAATAAAATAATAAAAGTTAATAAGTAAGACATATTACCATGGTAGATTCAAAGTGACTACCATTTCCTTTTGTACACAGAGACCGGGTTTATAAACTCGAATTTCGCAAGCGTCCTCCGCGAACGTAAGCATCTTTCTGTTTGTTAGTCTGCTGACTGGAAACATTGATAGCGTCAATATCATGTCTGTAGAGGACTACAAGATACTTTATTATTGAACCTTTAGGCACTTTAACTTAGGCTCCGTCCTCCTTTATGTCTGTGAGACCTGGCCTTTGAGAGTACAGGACATGAAAAGACTATGTGTCTTTGATCTTAGGTGTCTGCGTTCTATCTCCCGTGTGAAGTGGAATAGTAGGATAAGCAATACTGAGGTTAGACGTCGAGTGTAGGTAGGTGGGAGGGGAAATTAATCGACGAGGCTATGAAGCTGAATCAACTGAAATAGTTAGGGCATGTGTTACGCATGCCTAGTCATCGCCTTCCTCAACAGGCGATGTCAGCTGACAAAGGATGAATCAGGTTGGGAAAGAGCTAGCGGCGGTCAAACCAAAACATGGCAGCTGTCAATGAAAGCCACAACAAATAGTTTAAATCACGTAGGGATGGTAAAATCAGTGGCTGGAGGCAATCGGTGATATGGCTCAAAATGGTTCTCAATGGCTGGCTCAGATGCATCCACTCCTTGTGACTTATAATACCCAATGAAACTATATTGTTCTTCGATATTACTATTCCTTTTGTCCCATATCTCTGTTTACTCTCTCTATTTTACATTTCTTCTATTTTTTTCTCTTGCTTTGTGTGCTACACGCAGGGAGTGTGGTGACTTGAACTGCTGCACATCGGTGCAAAGTCGTATGTTGAAAAGAGGCAGACAGACTTTGACTTCAGTTGTGTCTCCACATCACGTGAGTGGACAATCGCCTTTCTGTACGATCTGTGTTTTCAAATACTGCTTTTCAGAGACGGACAGATGCGATGAGCATATTTGATTTTCAGAGTTACGTTTACGCAATCATATTTATCCGCTTAATTAACTTCTAATGTATATGTTGTTGCTTTTTCCCCAACTGCTAGGGTAAGCCTCGTTTGAAACCACCTTTCCCCGCTGATATTGGATTATTCGGTTGTCCGACAACAGTTACAAATGTTGAAACAGTTGCTGTCGCACCTACTATCTGTCGTCGTGGAGGTGATTGGTTCGCCAGTTTCGGGAGAGAAAGAAATCGTGGTACTAAGTTATTCAACATCTCAGGTAGGTAGATAAAGTTTGTTTTATTTTAAGGGAAACACAAGTTCCTTGCTATGAAACGGCTTTACTGCTACCATTAACTTGTGTGGAGACCTACTTATAGTAATAATAATTTAATGCTATTTTGTTTGATCGTGGCTAACAATGGTTGGCGGAATGCGCATTTTGTCGCGTATGTAACTCGTCATTTGGATTTGCCCACA